CAGCTCAATTTTTCTTTTCTTTTTTTTTAATATAATTAATATGAAAATAACCTGTGCTCATAAATTAGAGAAAAAAAAAAACTCTCATGCTAAACCACTGTTGAGGGATGTAGCATATCCACTGTTTGGTTTTGATATATTTTTTTAATTTTACATTATTCTTTTACTCTTTAATTTACTTTACTGAATGTGACTTACAATCTCATCCACAGAGCTTTGGGACGTTCGTGTTTCCGTCTAATGCTAACATTCTTTCCTAAATCCTAAACATTTTTCCTAATTTGATCATACAAATCTCTTGATGAACCAAAAAATTCAAAATTGAGATAATACAAAGAATTGACATTAAAATTGAATCTACATGGAAACAACCAAAACAAACTGTAATTACAAATCCGCATCTCAGAACAGACAACCAACAAAAAAACAAACAAGAAAGAGTCTGGAATTACACGGAAACAAAAAATAAAAAATAAAAAAAAATCCTGTTTCCTTTGCGGGTTCAACCAATCATAACAGAAGGTATTGAGAAATCGAAATTAAGAATCGGAGGACCAAACCGATTTGAGCAGCACGGATCATCAGGAGGTGATGTAGAAGATCGGATGGAGGATGAGGTGGAGGAAGATGGAGCAGGCGCAGGAGACGGAGAGGAACACCACGCCGTAGACAATCCTCAGTGCCATTTCTGAGATCAGAGCCCGAAGAAGAGTGATTACACGAAAGAGCATTTTTTTTCCTTATTTTCCAATATATTTTTTGGAAGAAAATTTTAATGGGCTTAGTTTGACTTGGGCCATATTAGTTGTAAGAGTAGACCGACCTAGAATGGGTTGTGGATTTGGACTATTGATTTATGTTTTGAACTTTGTTTCCTTCACCTACCTAGGGCTTAATTTGTTAATGGGTTTTCGGCCTAAATTTGTTAATGAGGTTTAATAATTAGTTTCATGGGATTAGATTTTAATGCTAGGTTAGATCATTACGCTAAGTTTATTAGATAAACTGTTATCAATCTGTATAATCTGTATATACCTCAGGGATGCCTAGAAGAAAGATATATATGTAAATATATATATATATATATATATGAACATTCACGCTTAATGGCACTATTAAAAAATTGGCTTTTTGTATCTTTTTAAAAAAATTAATTATAAAAAAATATATTTATTATATTTTTATTCTATACCAATAAAAAAATCTATTTGAAAAGCGTGTGCTCATCTACCAAACAAAAAACTTGCCTTGAAAAGCTAAATATGCTAAGATGCTAAGATGCTAATTGGATTCATTTCTGGCTCAGTTTTTCTTTTAGAAAAGCAAGAGATGCTTTAAACTAATGTTTGTGCTTTCCTGCAAATTATGGGGGCCTCCAAAGGTCTTTGGCGTGTTATACTTTAGTCAGTCAATTTCCACTAAACTTCACACTTCCCCTGCAAGTGGATCCTTTAAATAAAACCATGGTGGGCCCTGCAGAAAAAGACAAATGAAATTTCATTAGTGGGAAACGAAGAAAATAAATGTAAGGAAAGAGGAAAAGACTGAGAAATCACACTCTTCCTTTTTCCAGGATCAATAATTGGAGCCACTAATGGGTCTTCGTCAAAAAGCAAAAGCATCCAATGCTCTGCCCGTTTTGAAAGAAACAGCCTAACAAATTAAGAGACGATTTCCTTTCGTTTTTCCATTCATCTCATATCACCCTCTCCTCTGCTCCAAGTTTCTGTGTCCTTCCTTTCCAGTGCACAAGTTTCAGCCTTAAGGCAAAAGGTATGCTCCTCATCTCTTCCATCTCTTGTTTTTAATTCATTTTCTTAGGTTCAGTTTCTTCATCTTAAAATTTACTTACTCTTTCTCTGTTTCTT